CTGACTTCGATATGTACTGCATCCTTCAAAAGCAAAAATCCTGAAAATCTACGTCTACTCGACAATGGGGTCCACATCTTTGCCGTAGCTGCCGTTGTTCTGCAAGACTGGAATGGAATGGAGAAACTGCAAAGGGTTGGTACTTGTCTTAGTTATTAATGATGATTTCCTCGTAGATTGGATGTGTCGCTTATGGTTAGTGGAGGAAAACTCGATCCGAACTTGGTCAAAGGGTCGCAGGACTTTTTTCTAACCTTACAGTTAGCACTACATCTCGAACGACGGAAATAGCCCAGTCGCACGGGTCCCCACAACCTATGTAATTTTATGCTCTCCTATTTTTCCCCTTACTCACCTTCTACCCCTTCCTCGATCAGTCTCCTTCGGTAACACTTCTTCACGATACCATTGAAATATCCCAAGTAAACCAGCATTACTCCTCGCAATAATCCACCAAACATTATCTGAATACGCTCTCAAATGATAACTGAGAGATGAAAGATCTACTAGATGCAATTCACTTGTGTTAAAGCGTCCATCATGCTTCTTTCAGGAGACGCGCCAGCAGTGAGGATATCTAAAGAACAAATTATTAAAAAAGACCAACTTTGACTCGGTCAAAAGGATGCTAAACGTACGCACTGTGCCTTTACCTGTGAGGTAGATCCTTCACGTGAGCGAGCAGGACAGATGACAGCCATGGTCACATCTTATTTATGTCTCCTCCCGCTAGATATATAAGTGCACGCCACAGCCGCCCCATCTGACCGGCCGTGTGATTCTAGTAGGGTGGTGCGGCCAGCCATGCGGCTGTCCGTGTGCCGTATGGCGTGGCTGTGGAGCGCAAATAAAATATTAGGTTGTCCCAAAAGTTCGTGACCATTTCGAACTTTTTTTCGAGTCAAGTTTATTCCAGTGAGAAGCAATTTTGATCAACAATATATATGTTACCTTCATCGGCAACTTGTTGCCAACCACCAGGCAAAGAGTGGTTGCCTTGCTTCCAGAAGCCTTCTGGTTTCGTGCCGAGAAAGGCAGCTGGGTCATTTTTGAGGTACTTTCAAAATCATATTTTTTTAACCCAGGAGTCAGAATCCCGAGCAGTATCGTTTTCGAAACGTGCGACCCCGACCCAGTGAAGTAGACAAACAGTGTTCGGTTGTGAGACAAACGGTGGGAATTTTCATCCCCCTTTTGCAGTTGATTACAACAGGATACGCTGTTACCACAGTGCCGAGAAGAAGAAATTCCTTCTTAGGAAGAGACAAGAAACCACACCACATATACAGTCTCACCACCCTCTTGGACTGATAGGATTGCGCGACCGGTTCTGTGCATTCTAGGGAGTCTAGCCAGTGGCGCTTCCTTCATCCAGTCTGCATGGCGGAAGCGGGAGAGAAGTTGTACCACATGGTGCTCCTGAATATTGGTCAAACCCTAGAGAAACGATTTTGCACCGATTACTTTAAGGCTTTTTTGCAGGGAAGCGGAAGGCCCTCTGTGATTCGCTGCTTCCAAACAGTTAAGTATAGGACTAGATGCGGTCGACTTCCTCCGAATTTCTTTCAAGTCACGGAACACAGTAGGTCCAAATTAAAGGCAGGTGGCCAGGGCTTTCTCCCAGATAGAAGTCACATAAGCGAAAGCGACTGCGAGGGACGGTAAAGAAGCTGTGGGATGCTTAGTTAAAGGCAGCGTCCGCGATCAACCAAAGTGAAAAAACCCTCCATTGAAAACGAACGCGGAGTTCGCAATCACAGCAGAAATCCCACTCTTGCGGCTCGAAATCGATTGGTTGACGAGGGCGGAGTCAACAGAGCCGGGCTGACGCCTCCTGTCCTGTTAATCCCGCCCCGACTGGTTGACAGTTATCAATGCTTGCTGGCATTGATATACGCTGAATTTCTAGAGTTCCGAGGCGGCGACGTGTATTGAGAGAGCTCACCAGAAGTTTGCGAAACTCGTCCACATGCCTTAAATTTCATAGGGTCTTATTTCACGCTCTTCCACACCTTTTTCCTACTTTTTTTGATCACTGCTTCATTGGCGCACATGCTTCTAGCCAAAGTGCCCCTGAAACCTGCCACCAGTCCATCGCGGCGCGCTGTCTTTAACACACTTCCCATAGACCACACAACTGGATCTCGAGGTGGCAACGGAAAGAACTCATACAAGCTTCTAAGAATGGTCACGAACTTTTGGGACAACTTAATAATAGGCGAAACGTAAGAACCGCCGAGTTATCAGGGTTGGTATGTACTCACGAGTGGCAGGCGTGTCACACTTCTACTGCTGTAGGTCCACCGTTTCCCTTCCACATGGGAAGGATCCACCTCTCAGATAATCGAATAGTGCATCTCTATCAAAGGTAGAGATTGTACACTTACCTCAAGGGACTCTCCCCATCATGTGCGAGGAGCATCTCTCGCAGCTGCAGTACCGCGCCACTTTCTTCACTAAAAAGTACACGGGGACGGGGCTGTAGAGAAGTGGAACCCATGTGCCGTCTTTATACTACGCCCGCGCTATCCTCCAGGTAGAGCTTTCGCGTCAATATCATGATCCCGCAGCGAAACAGACACTGTGATAGAGGAGAGAGCGTAGACAAGTGGCGCGCTTGGCCACGGTTAGGCGTGCGGCAGCACGGATGGAGTATGACGACGGGACCTGATTGTACTCCGATCGTACGACGGGATCACCACCCTCCACCCCGTTCCCGTGCACTTTTGATCGGAGAAAGCGTCACACTTCTGCACCTGTAGACCCATCCTCCACACGTACGGCAAGGAACAGAATTGAGGGAGGTGAATGTAGAGTTTTTGTTTTTGAATAACACTACCAAAAAGAGCGTTCAGGAGCTACCTCCTACAGAAATGGAAAACCAGCCATGAAATTCAAAAGTCTGAGCTCGAACAAAAAATTTTCAGCTCACTCAGCATCCATCCATCGAGACCGACAGGTGTTGAATAGTAGCCGGCTTCTATAGTCACAACGTGACAATCAGCGACAAATTTCGGAGAGAAAAGACCGGCCGTCTCGCTGATCAGCTGTACTTCTTCAGGCATACTCGCCATTTCTTTCTGTAGTACCAGTATGTAATCAAAATACGAGAACTTTGTTTGAGCTTTGTTTCTACTTCACTTTTCTCTTTTTACGAATGAATAACAGATTATAAGTCAACAAAAACACTATGGGAACAACCTTGTATCCTTCAGTATCCGTATTTGGGGGGTATAGAATCGATACATTGACATTGTAGGGAGATAGTTCCATCTGGAGAGCATCGGCTAAGCCTCTGTAATGGCTAGCTCAGGTTTGAAAGAAAACTTGCACAAGTTGGCTAAGAGGGGTAGGTCTGAACAACTTTAGCAAACGTAGAATTGCCATACTGAAGACGAGGATTTTTTCGAACTCAAAAGGAAAAGAACTCCGAGGTAGGTGAACACAGTTCTTTGAACAGAATGGGACATGACATTACGGTAGTTTCAGCTCTTTTGAACGCCACATCTAGCTAGCTTCCCTTAAGAATCTGCATTATGATCCGTTTTCAAATTATATTTCCCTGAACATCCTTAAAGGCACATTCCGCGATAAAATAAGGCTATGACCTCTCAAATGTGTCGGACGATCCGGAAGGCGATTTTTGAGGCTGCGCTACTTTCAAAATGTGAAAAACGGCAAGAACTCCGCTAGAAGCTGACTAATTAGGCCCATGGACACCCCTTAGGCCCATGCCGACCCTCACCGGCTGCTAGCTACTAGCTAGTAGCCACTATGTTATCTTTCTCTATAACATTTCGGACTGCTTTTTCTGCTGCTTTTCTCCGCTAATCAGATACTTAGCACTTTTTTGTGCCTATTTGAGTTCCGTTTCCCGCAATTTGCGGTCGCGAACTGTGCCTTTTAACAGAAAATGGCACAAACAGCTATTGAGGTGAGAGGGTAAGATCGGCTCCGGTAGCGTAATGGATAACCCAGCCGCCCAGTAAGCGTGAGAAGCAGGTTCGAGTCCCTTCCTTGGTCTGACTTTTGCCCATAACTCTGCACTCCTGTGATAACTTTTGGATCGCGCACTGCGGCGTTAAACAGCAGTTATCAAACTGAATCATTGCTGAAAGACTTATCCCCGACCCAAAGAACGTTTTGGTCTTCTCACCTGAGAGCGAATTTCGTAGGGGCATAAGCCGTGTAACCGTAGATAGCGCACTGGCCAGCAGCGGATGACACGAAGCTAATGTGACCTCTTCGGCGTGACTTCATGCCTGCTATAACACAGCGGGTAGCGTAAACCTAAAACCGAGCAGAACTTCAGAAGTTTTTGAGGACGACCATATCGAGTCTGGAAGTAAAACCTACTGCACTTAGGTAGTTGACTCTAATTTGGCTCTCGAAGTCATCAATCGGTAGATCTTCGAACGCCCCCTGGAAATTATAACTTCACAAAAAGCGTTCGCCAGCTAGCCTCTGTGGAATAGATGATCCATGGTGACTTTTGCACGTATGCAAACAATGTTAAGGAAAATAAAAATAAAACTCCGCGCTAACGTTGGAGATGGTCACCCATCATCAAGATTTCGGCGACCACATCGGCACTCGTCGTCTACCTTCTTCCTTTCACCAATTCACTGCTCCCCTCTCCCCGGCTGAAGACGTCCCCGCGCTCTGCCTACTCGTGAGCGTTCTTTCCTGGTCTTCACTCTCTGATACTGCAACACTTCCACGGCTACACAACAATTGGCCGCTGCGGCCCTCATAAATGGCACTTTTAACGCCTCCTCAGTTGGAAAGTTGCCCCGCCCCGCCCACCGGAACTCGCAGGCTATTTCCCATCACCAGCTCACTTTTTACACCGCGTTTCTTTACTTTCACATTTAGGTAGTATTGGCACAGGATGACGCGAAGAACCAACTAGAAGCCACAGGCAGCAGGATATCGCTTTGCTGACATAAAACGAGCAGATCCAGCGAACCTCCTTACTATGGGTATTCCCCAGGTTTTTTACTTCTCTTCTCTGTAGTGGTACTTAGCAAGTACAGGTTTTTAACTGAACGTCACAAACTACAATATGCAATCACGGGATTTCTTAAAGGAGCGAGCACCACCGCTCTTCGCGGTCTATTGTCGCCACATCGCCCCTACAATTGAGTTAGCGCCGGAATTTCGTTCTATTAGGTTGTCGCATAAGTTCTTATACACGTGTTTGATCCTCTCCTATTTCGTTCGCATGGATGTTGGTATTACGTCATCACGTGTGCGTGACGTGTACATTATACTCTTTCATTACACTAGCTATCACTCACCGAGCTTGCATTTGCAGTACACAATGTCGCACAATTTGCACTGTGACAAAACGTACCTGCGCCACTGTTTGGTTTTGCTCCACGATTTCGGCTGGAATGCAAAGGAAGCCCATACCAAGCTGGTGGATACATACGGTGAGGACGTCATCTCTTACATGACATGCAAGAATTGGTTCGCCAAATTCAAGAAAGGAGACTTTTCTCTCGAAGATGCTCCGAGGTCGGGTCGGCCGATGGAGTTGGATTTGGAAGTACTACGTTCCACCGTGGAGGAGGACCCGTACCTCACCACCAGAGAAATGGCGACCATGCTTAGCTATGATCATTCGACGGTTGCACGTGGACTAGAAAAGCTCGGCAAGGTAGCAAAGCTTGGTCGATGGGTCCACACGTCGTCTAGTGAATGGTGATGGTGCATACCTCTAATCTCCAGGCTGGTTCGTTTTTGAGATATTTACAAAAAAGTCGTGTATAAGAACTTATGCGACAACCTAATATGCAAGGCATTAAAACGAAAAATCTCGATTGGGATCCATCAGCGGAGATTATCTCATGTTAATCCTCTTATGCTATATTTAGGTACCTGAACGCTAGTGCCCGCATTATTGATGAGCGCTTCGACAGGACCAAGCTCTTGTTCTGCTTGTCGGATCACAGACTCTACCTGAACGACTATGTGTGCTTTGGTTTGATGGAAATCACTTCTATCCCTGACTTACCTCTCGGTATCCTTTCGTGAGATCCAACGAGTAGTAACGCACTTTTTGGTTTTGACCACGTTGATCGGCAGCCGTCTGTAGTTCTTTACAAGCTGCCTAGAGAAACTGAATCAACGGAAATCCAACATTGAAAAGTTTTTAATACTCGAACCCTCAAATCAGCTTCATTCCTGGCGATGATGGAAACGTTACATCCCCTAGATAGCAGCGAATGAGCTAATTGCTTGCCAATACCTTTTGAGCCTCCTAAAAGGGAAAACGTCGGTTTCAACAAAGGGGAAAAAGCTACTGGGCTCGTAAAACAATGGTAACCACTCCTCCAGCTCACCGGAGTATGTATAAGTGATGTCCACTTTGCTGCGACGACGGCTCGCGTGTGCGGCATTCGCACAGTACCACATTGGTCTAGCGTGGAACTACGGCAGAGCACCGAGTCAACAAGCTGTGGAATCTCCGCTAGTTTGTATGCTTCGCCGCAACACAGAGCCTTTCCGTGAATTATCGGGCAAGGATTCTGAGTAGTCAGCTTCCAAACGATTTTTAGGCGCTAGTGCCGTGAGATGGGGGGACAAGGGAATCGCAAATTGCCGCTTCGTCGCGCGCGGCAATGGCGCGACGTTCCCTTATGCACTACCCTTTCGATTGGGGCATCGAATTTTATGTAGGCAAAGATATGGTAGACACTCATGTCTATTTTTGGTCATACACAGTTTACTCTCGATCAAAACCATTAAAATCGTCGTCATCGCACGCGACGCCCACTGGCGTGGCGAACGATCCTCTTACCACATACCCGAGATGGGGTACGAAGAAACGACCGACTCTGAACAGAGCGATGTGACTTCAGCCGAGACCTAGAGAGGAATTGCGGAGTTCAGGATCACCTAGCTTGTGAAAACGTCATACTCGATATATTCTCTAATCTCTACCGATGTACTCATACCTAGCCGATAAGGGCAATCCGCAGTTTAGGATAATGATCGATTTGGGAAAATGCGCGGATTGAGACGGAATGTGCGCAAAGGATTGAAGGCGAATTGACTAGCTGCGTTCCAGGGCCATCACAAGTTAAGGATCCGCGGCGAGGAGTGTCGTCTTTGGTCGCAGAAAGGAAGGAGGGAGGATCGTGTTTGCCCTCGAACCTTTTCTTGACGTTCCTGTTTCAGGTTCGCCCGTTTTATATCCACCCCTTCAGGAGGAAATGAGAGAGGGGTTATACTTTGCGAAAAATTCCCCCAAGGGCAGGACGTGCCCAGCTACGTACACTAGCAGGTTTCGCGCTTTCCCAATTTTCCAAAAACGCTAGTGGGGTAAAACTTGTGGAAATGTTCACCTGGTATGAATCAGCAGCTTACCTGTGACTACGGCGTGCTTCTTATTAAGATCGAAGTTCTTCCGTGACGGCAGTGAGAAATAGAGAACTAGAAAGGCGACTAGAGCGATAACAAACCCAGAGGCAATTAGCACAGCCAACCAAGGTGGTATCATGTTACTCCAAGGTTAGAAATCCTGAATATTGCCTTCTACACTTGGTAAGGATAATGATCTTGATCGAAAATTTCAAGATACGAAATTGTAACAGCATGTAAAGAAACAAAACTAAAAAGAGAATAGCAGAGTGGAAAATTTCCCAGGCAACGATTAGGGAAATGTTTTTGGAAATTTAAGACAGAACGCAACTCAATTACGTTATGTTCAGGCCAGAAAAGCAGTGTTCGAACATACTCTTGAATCAATCGATGACCCAGGGAGGGCACACACGACTTTATGGTCATGGGCACAATTCTGATAAGAGAAGAACGTCTGAAAACCTACTGTTAGAAATATACACGAACCCGGTTTCATCAATCACGTCCAAAGCAACTCATGTCCTGGTGTTAGGGAGGATATTCTCGAAATACGCCCCACCTCCCCCCCGCTCCCCATTTGCTACCTCCCCCTACAAGCGACCATTCATATTACTGAACTTCCCCAACCCAATGTCGTTGAGCGGGGTTGTGAAGGAAGATACCTCCGATCGACTACTAGGATCAGCGGTCCTAACGTTCGCCACCAGAAAGATCTATAACACGCGTGAAGACGAGCATCAACAATCAAGAGGTGTTTCCCTCGCCATACACGACTCTCCTCCCTAGCAAGGAGTGACAACGTTCCGTTGAGTGACCCCTAACGTTTGACCTGCCCTGTGCACTGCATTTCCAAGCTCCTTCAGACTCATTTTTGGCAGTGTTCAGACTTCGCGATGACTCGCGTCGACGCGCTACCTCTGCAATAGCGCTCCAATGCTATAGACGGGAACGCAGTCGCAAAAGGGAATCGATAGGAGCCGGCCACCTAACAGGAGGGTAGGTGCTGTCTGAGTACGTAGAGCGATCACCGCTAGCCGCTTGTGTTTTGGTAGCGAATGAAGAAAGGAGGGTACCAGTCTCTGAGAGGAAAGCGTCTACTCAGCCGTTATCCTATATGTAAAAGAGTCCATAAGCCTCATTCAATTCTGGCAGAGATCGTCCGGGCTCTCAATCCGAGAAAAGCGACGTACTTCCGTCGCGGAGTTATGCCCCTGCTTGCTATTCGCTCCCGATGCCGATCGACACAACAGGGATCGTCGGGACGCTGAGTGTCCTCGCTTTGAATGCCTTTGCTGGGGTCTACGGACAGCTAAAACTCAATTCCTTTGATGGCGCCAACTTTCTTTTTCTCTGCGCTCTCTTTCCTGAATGGCGATTTATGGCTTTTTACCTTTCACATTCCAACTTTTCACGCATACTAAGTGGCTCATCCACCCCGGTGTCCCCTCCCCTCGAAAAAACTCATCTCCTGGCTCGCATCGTGTTTTTTGTACCTCACGATGCCTTGGCAGTAGCAGTCCCTTATTGCTCTGCGCTCTGGCCTATCGTGGCAGGACCCCCACCAAAAGTTTTAGTTGTCACGTAACCCTTTGCTCGCGCTACGTGACCAAAAACGGGCATCCTCTAGCGGCGAATCATATTTCGAGCTTAGAAGCCAAAGATAACGAGGAAAAAAGTTCCTTGCTAGAACTACTGGAATTCTACATAAAAAGATAACAATTGCTGCGGCTAGCACATCAGTACGAGAAAGATTTGCATACAACAATTTATTGGACAATAACACCAATGATAACAAGTAAACAATCTAAACAATAACAATCTGCTCCTAATACACTTGGGACAGCACTCTCCCATTGAGTGCTAAACTACTGTCGAATCTTTTTCGAGTAGAGTAAATGCACGAACTCTCCTCTAGAAAATCGCTTTCACAGCTGCAGCAAAAACATAACACTCCTTCGCCAAAGTTGGTGGCGCATCAGGAACAGCTCGTAGTAGCTTTACGTTAGCGCCAGGATTCTTTCTCCCTTTGGAAATAGTGAAAATATTTACCTCGAAGTCTGATGAGGTGAAACAAGGCACTAATCCTCAATAACATCAGCGTTCGAACCGTTTGCTCGAGGTCGATGTTGAGCGAAGAATCACCCCTGTAAGACTCCGTTCATTCCTCGCCGTAGCTTTTTGAGCGTCTGCTACCGTTTTGAGCAATTCGAACGATGACTGATACCTATATAAGTCGCTTAAACACTTGTGGAGATAGAGCTCAAACTGCTATCGCTCAGAACGCAGGCTCTCAAAAAGCTAAATCGAAACCCATATTTCGCTTATCGCTGGGAACGCTGGCGGACGCTGAAAACGCTAGAGGATCTTCAGGACTCTGGTGGACGTTCGAAACACTCAGAAGCTGGCGAGCGCAAGAAAAGGTGGACCGATACCCACACTTTCCGCCGAAACCCTCAAAACGGTGACAGGCGTTCAAAATGCTGCCGCAGAGCATGAACACAATCTATTTAGTCCTACAGCGCGTCCCGGAAATCTTCAAGCGCGGCTGAATAGCGAACAAGGACTAATCCATTTAAGTGTTTAAGATACACAGCATGTCAACAAAGCCTCTTCAACCACTGCGATGGTTAGAACACAGGTGTTAGAACGAAATCTTCTCCAGCTTCGTACTCTGTCAGCTAAAATAGGAACAACAGAACCCTAGATTATTATCATAATCTTCACAAAAGAACTTACCGAGAAGAAATGCGCAGCGATGGTCCTGTTACGGTATTGACCATTGTACTGACCACTTATCGTCAACGACGCCCACACAAGTTGTGCATCCTCACCGGCGACTATTATACTACCCTTATGAGTTGACTCATTATAATCGCTTATCTGTAATGATTATTATAATAACGTAATGACGCGCGGGTACCTAATAAACGGTGCTGATGCCATATAGGTACTCTCCTCATCATTACGGACTGTCGGGGCGGGTCAGTGCGGCTGCGTTTTCCGCGGTGCCAAAGTCTTTCTGCACCAGTTGTTGAAGCGAGAAAGTGGCATTTATTATACCTTCGTATTACTCGTTTTCTACCACTTTTTGTCGCATACGCGTTTCAACGAAAAGGCTGAGAACGGCTTCAAACAGTGTGCGCACTCCTACTGGCTGATACGCCCCGACAGTCCGTAATGATGAGGAGAGTAAGCAGTCCTACACGTTATTGTCTATAAACGTGAGACATTGGGTGTCTTGAGAGTGCTTTCGCGAACCGATCGCCAGGATCGCGCGATCCAAGCGAACGGATCGAGGAGTGGGAACGCACTCTAAGAGTTTACATTGAGCTAACTATATTGGACTAGCGCTATAAAGACTGGAAGAAACAAGTGAATATCAGTTATGAAGAACAATAAAAAATGTACCTGCACTTGTGGGCCGCATGTGCCAAGCACTCTTTTTACAGACTGAGTGACGAAAAGTTCGAAGTCGGACCCCGTAAAAGGAAGAGAGTCGGTAAGCTCACTGGAAACACGTTTTGTTGAGCAAAAAACAGTTTATTGGGCCCCAAAATGAATGCTAAGAAATGATAAGGGGCATAATGGACAGTTTAATGTCTACACAAATCATTGAGAGAGCGCATTTCCAATAGCTGTTACAGTCTTGTTTGCTGCAGATGATAGGGCGTGGGACGAGAAGCGGTCAAAAACGACTGATACGAAAGATATCATAGTCTAGTCGTTTGCCGAATGATAAAACATGAAATGAACTGGCATCGCACTACCCTTACACCTTAACACGCCTCTTCATAAGCAGCGAACACGACTACTGAAAACAGAAGATAACTAGGAACATTCGACTTACATCTTGACGGTCAAACGAACATAAGGTGCCTCGATACCACTGCACTTCTTGCCCATCAAAAAAGTATAAATTAGCTCTCAACAACTTTTACAGCTGAAATTCAAGGCAGTACCTCTTTGCAGTACGGCAAACTTCGACCATTCTACTTATGAACCAAAAGTACGATACGCACGAAATTCACATCAGTATGAAGAGGTGACCATCTTTTCGAAGTGTAACGAGACAAGTCATGATTCATTTTTATTCATGGTTAATAAAGTGTGAGGCTAAATCAAATCGATCACATCAAGCAAAAACAGTGAAGGATGAAATCTGCATTGATATCACAGACGTGCCAACAACTACAGTGTCAGCTAAAATAACTTTATGTACAAGGCTAAGTACAAAAAATAGTACCTAAACTGAGATGGATATGCCCACAACTATAGTTGCCTATTCACGAATTACTACCACTCAAAGACTGTCCGGATGCGAACCCGAAAGGACAGACACAAGGACCACTGCTGCCCACTTTTCTGGTACATAAGGCGCATATAGCAGCAAGTTCGCAAAGACTCACGCCACCTAAGCGCGAAAACTTCCTGAATTGAGCAGCTTCGCACTTTTTGTATAGTTTGACCTTTAAACGGTTTCCAGAAAGGGAACCAGAGAAAGTATGCGCGTCTTCTGAGGAAAATATGAGCCTTACATCCCACAAAACAGGGCAAATATATTCGCATGCCATCAAGGCTATAATTTACATCTAATAGTGGAAGTCTTCAATACTCGGGGGAAGGAAGCAGACGAAGCTTTACGAACTTAAAGACACAATTCGGGATTGCAAAGCGTGGGAGGAGGGGTTAGGAAGTAACGGGGATGTGGTAATTGACCTTCCAGCGAGGAGAAAAAAAACAATGTTGGAACGCCACTGGTAGGAGCCTGCTGTTTTTGAGCATTGCACGGGCATACAGCGAAGAGATATTCAGGGATGAAGAGGAAAAGGCAACGAACTGGCGAAGTAGTATATAGCGAAGTAGTACCAGTGACTGTGAAGTAAGAAAAGGGCGAAGACTGACCTAAGCGGGCACACCTCTGGTATTGTCATTCACCTTCAAACTCTACAAGTACTTTGTAGGAGGAGAGGGTGTTACACATCAGATAATCGCGAACCATGTCTTTAAGTGCATTGCCCATGATGATGAAGCAACTGCTTTCAGCAGAAAAACCATACGCAAACAAAACTGGTGAATATGACCCATTAAGCAAGAACAACTGAATGCGTACGGGTTAGAGGAGGAGGGAAATGCCTACGTGGAAAACTGGAATAAATTAAAATCACTGTGCAATTAGCTACACTCAGGTACTACTATTTCAGAAGAGAAATCAAAATAGGTGTCCCATGTAACTGGCATCTAGAGAAAACCAATGAGCTTCAGAATACGCTATCAAATGCAGGGCGCCAACACAGGTCGCTTTCTCAGTCATCAAGTATATATAGCGAAGAGCAAATAGTAAAGTCGAAAAATTAAAAGAATAACTGAAAATTCAGGTCAAAGTAAAATAAAACCGCAATGGACAGGAATACCGGCAAACAACGCGTTTACGCCCGCGATTTACTCGTATTCTGGGACTTTATTGCACGGATTACTTTTCTTTCGGATAACTACCGTTCCACGCTGACGTTTGACAACTTCCAGGCGATAGTGTAATAGCATGCGGTTAAACTGAAACGAAAACAGTAAACTAAGAAGAATTTGCAAATTCGAAAAAAAAGATAAGTACAGTGATGACGCGACCGTTTCCAAAGACATACCGTACGGTTGCCTGTGAGGAGGACCCTTTTTTGCATTACATGCGAAAAATTGTGCCTGAGCTATACGTATAAGGGCGCTTAGCTATGGCTAGGTCCACGACTGGTCGTGTGACGTGTTGCGTATCCAGTTACGGTGGGAACATGGGTAAAACTGAGCTAGCACAATAATACAACTATTATTGTGCGCAGTTTAGGTGAATATGGTACAGTTACGGACCTCGTACATGGACAGGATCCACCGCTCGGTAATCACCCAGTGTGCCTTCATAGCAAACTAATCAAAAAGATGATCAGGGCTTGAAGTGCACACATACTTTATGGCAGCGCTTTTAGCGTCTATAAGCGTTTTGAGGGCTTCATGCGACTAAGAAGGCATCTATAATCACTGAAACCCAGACGGACGCTGAAGATGCTGACAGACATTCGAGAGGCTGTCGCTAGGTATGAACGCACTCTCGAAAACGTAGGGCCAATAGACGCGCTTCTCCTTCCAACTCTACCTTCTACCCTCTCCTTCCCGTTCTTGAAAAAAAAACGGGGAAAAGTTCCGCTATCGATACCTGAATTGAATTTGGTCGATCCTTGATACGAAATTCAATGCCCATTTCTCCACGGCCACCTTCAAGCGCAAATCTTTCCAGACGTCGTTGTAACTGAGACATTTGCAACTTTTGCTGTATTCGACGACCTCGTCGCTCTTCTAGTGGATCCTTCAACAAAGCACAAGTAGTCAGTGCAAAGACGGAAAGTGACTGACTGTTATGGAAGAAAATCGCTAATCACTAATGTAATCGCTTGGCAAATGATTTTAGCTGAACTCGAAAATCGCATTTTTTTGGCAAAATGCAACACCTCAACAAATGATGACTGCATTCTCTACACATTGAACACCGGGAATCGAGAGAGCAACCCAACTTATTTCAGCCACACAAAGTGAACAAACAACGAGTCAAGATTAGAGCATTCCTTGGCAGATATAGTTTGCAGAGGCGCGACTGCGACCGAAATGAATGACGCGGAAAGTGGGCATTAAAGTCGATGCACGTGGCGTTCAATGTGCTATAGATTTTCTTAACGACATTAATAATATTGAATCAACTCCACGATTTGCCTTAACAGTCTGAACCATTTTAATGTGATACAATATGCTGCCTAGGATTATAGTGCCTGTACTAGAATAGAAAAGGAAAGAAGTGATCTCACAAAGTCACCCTCGGTCACGGAGGGGGCGTACCCGACCCAGTCACTCTGTTCATCGTCAGCATCAGCAGCGGTATTTCCTTCGTCACTTTCGCTCGTTGAAGAAAGACACGACTCTGCTCCATCCCATTCCATTCTACTATCTAAAATAGAGTGAACGAGATTGCTCGCAGAGTAGAAAAAAACTCGGATCAAGATAAAGGTGTCCTTTCCAACTGTTTTGACTCATTGCACATCAAACCAGTAATAACAGAAATATTATCCAACAGTATTACATAATGACGTACTAGCGCTAATTTCAGCAGGTCGGAGGTGGCGTAGAAGCAAATGCCCTCACTTACAAACGAGATCGTCGGCTCGAGATGGAACCCCGGCTCAGCTCTCGCCCGACCCAATCTGTCTTCCCATTTTTCGAGGCCAGTTACTCGAAACTAGACTCGTGTAGAAGCACGTAGATACCGAATTGCACATTGGCTGGCTCAGTAAGCCAGTTTAGAGGCAAAATTGTTTTTACTAAAACCCCGAAACAGTTTTAAATGGAAGTTATATGCTTGCCGCATCTCAGAAGGTAATGCATCAATGACACTTTTTTTCGATGCGGTAATGCTTCGCTTCTTTCTGACGGCCACTGAGATCACAGCACACGATGGGATTTTCTTCGGTGTTCGCGAAACGTAGTCGACGGTCACAGGCTAACTTGACCTGAATAATCAAACGTGGAGTGAGATGTTTTGCGCTTGGGCTTCTACTTCTTTTTTGTTACACTCCACAGTTCTCTAGTATAGAGCGATATGGATAGATTTAGGATCTCCAGATATAACAAGAATAATTCTCTTCAATATTCACTACGTGTTCATAATTCCCAAATAATTTGCGATTGGCGAGATCGGCGATAAATGATCAGATGGGAATCCATTGACGCTTATTACTCTAACTTCTCCAGAATATGTATACCTTCGTTTGCTTGCATTCTCGAATTCCGTACTGAAGATTTTTCATTCGTGCTGTCTGAGAACAGCCTGCAGAACACAATGACCTTTCCAGTGCAGGTCCCCATTATGTCGCTGTAATGGTAGGGTCTTTCGCAATAGCTGCGCGCATCCGTCACCCTTTTTGCCACCCTTTCTGTTTACATTAGCATCATAAAATTGAATTCGCAAGCAAATTGTGACTAAAAGCCAAATAAAAGGCATACCTGGCTTGATCTGTGAGGTAGTTGGCTGAGGATCAACATCCATTTTATAACTGCGTGGACGACGAATTAGACGCTTCTTCTTTCTAGAAAAGACCAAGTTCATTACTCATTGAAATATGCTCAAGGGCGCAACACAGTACTTGGAAAGAAAAAGACAAACTCAATTAGCGGCTGGCACGATGAAGAATAAGTGGAAACCGATCCGAACCTTTCAAAGACAACCCAAGCAATTCGGAGGGGTCCTTTCTTTTTCAAGTATTCTGGTGCTCAGGCCTAAGACTGTCTCCTTATTGTGACTTCACATTAAGTGACGAAGGCGCTGCAGCGTTGATAAGTGGCAGTTTCATTCCCCCCCCCCCCACCAATACTCAAGCACGGCTTTCAGTAACGAGTTTAGTTTTTACATCGCGTTTTTTCGTTTTTTTTTCCGCTCTTGGATGGTGTACGCATTGAATGAGACGAAGAAGCGGTTACTGAGACAGAGCAGGCAGGATATAGCGATACTGTACGATTATCGCTGTATCGCTTTGCTGGCATGAAATGAGCAGGTCTGAAGAACTCGTACAGTGCGGCTACCAGGGGTCCTGCCTAGGGTGCGTTGCACTTTTTCATGCAGTTTTGCAGTTTTGCTACTTGGGCTATAGGTTCTAACTTAACGCCTGTATGCAATTGCAATTCGGGGGTTTGTCTTCAATGTCACAATTAATCATGATAGTATAGTGATGAGTGACGTTTTCTCACTTACCACACGAGAAGTAATATTTCGAGCCTCAGTTCGGCGAAAAAAAAAGGGGGGGGGGATTCTGCACTGGCACTTTCGCCGCTTCCCATCTATATGTCGTGCCACCAGAGAGCTACTTCATGAGCTTACAAGCGCTGACAGGTTTCGTCATGGTGGCTCGACGAGCTAGCTTCAGCTTCACATGAGACGGTTTTATTGGAGTAGTAAAGCGGAGCTAGTAAAGTAGCAAAAGTGCAAAATGTCTCCCGTCGTCGAACTGCTCATATTTTGAAGAATTGAGAGATTTCCTGAGCGTGAAGCTTGACGAAACCCTTCTGAGGAATGTGAATAGCTTCCATATTGTTATGCCAATCAGATTTGTTTTCGGCAAAAACGGTTTATCCGTCAAAGTTTCGAGCATCTGTCGTCTTCAGGACCTGAAGACACGAACAAGCGCCCCATCATTAAAAAACAATTGCAGCAGGTGGCAGCCGCTCATGTGGTAGTGGACTGGCCTCTGAGGACGACGATCCTGTCGAAACGTCAGGCCATTTTCAATAAAGTCTTCCACCTACCAACCTCTTTGGCAGAACAAATTACAACTTGAAAGTTCACAGTAATGCCGAGTTTTTATGAAGTGAGAAGCTGGATACTATTACATTTAATATGGGAACCCCTGCCTTCAAGTTGTTTGAAGCGGTGCATACCAAGGGAACTGAGGGGAGGGGCTTTCACCTGCCTGATAGATATTATTTCACGCGTATTCCCAACCGTTACTGCCTTTCATTCCCTTATGCGGTCTGGGAAATCACCCCTGATGTCTAGGGTCCCTGTGGCGGTTCGCTTTTACCCTGTTGTTCAGTGCGTTGAGTGGGAATTTGGAGCTTGTGGAACCGGGACACGTTGGTTTCTTTGCCGAGAGCTTTCTTTTTTGGTGCTTTTGGAATGTGCTGCAACCAGCGTATGATGTGATGGCGCGCTTGACCGGTCAAGTTGCAAATAAGGTTTACAAGCTACTTCAATGTCCTGAAGGCAACGAACTGCTCGGAATGTTGACCAATAAAGCAGTTCCTCTAATAATAACAGTTCTTTGTTGGCATATAAGACCGAAACATTGTCTAATTAAGCGAAGGTTTCAAGAAAAAGGTTGAAGTTGGAGCTTATTACGCAATGTGATAGTATTACCGAAAGAGGAACAAAAAGGGAAAAGAACGAAAACTTCGTTACCTTGAAGCCCTTGGCATGTTGGGAGTTTCTGGGAGTGAGTCGGACTCTAGTGTGACGCAGGCAACATGCGACACGACTTTCTGAAAACAATGATACGGTAACTACGATGGCATAGGATGAATTATTAAACGTCTGGACTACCTCACCTCGCAGTCTTCGTCGAGATTTCCGGACTTTTGTTTACCGTTCTCGTCGACATTTACTTCGGAATCTGTCATTGAACGCCACCCTAAACAAAACAGAATGAAGGCACTGTTTACTATTTGCCAAAAGAGAGCAGTGTCTTCGGAGCTAACCGGCGCAGTTCGGGCGAAAGGGCATTTTGCACCTTTCTGTTTCACTGATTCCGGTTTCCAAGTCTCACTATGGTGAAACCCTTGTGAAGCTGGAGGAAGCTTGTCAAGTCGCCATGGCAAACGGTTTTTGCATAGTTTCTCATTGCCTTACAAGAGCCAGGTACTCTTTAGGTTTTTGCGCTCATATTTTAGTTAGCGTCCATCAACGTCAACTAGCAACTAGGGAAGTATAAGGCTGCGTTTATACTTTGCGGCAGCGTAGCGTAGCGCTTCCAGCGTACGCCAGCGGCAGTGCCGGGGAGAGGATGCATATCGATCTAGCGTTCCCAGCGTCACCAGCGTTTCACCAGCGTTTTGCTGGCGTTTGCAGCGGCAGGGGAGTAGAGACTATGTGGCCGTAAGACGCGCAATCGATGTGTATTGTAGAGACTATGTGGCCGTCAGAGACGCGCAATCGATGTGTATTGTAGAGACTATGTGGCCGTGAGAGACGCGCAATCGATGTGTTACCCTCCAGCTCTCCCATAGTCTCTACTCCCCTGCCGCTGCAAACGCTAGCAACGCTGGAGAAACGCTGGCGTAACGCTAGCGTTACGCTGGTGACGCTGGGAACGCTAGATCGATATGCATCCTCTCCCCGGCACTGCCGCTGGCGCTACGCTACGCTGCCGCAAAGTATAAACGCAGCCTAAGAATCAATGTAGCGAACGCCAGCGTTTCCGCGGGTAGCAGGGCACATCGTTGCTGGGAAATCCCAATAGGGGGGGTCGTATTTGGCCGCCAGGAGAGGGGGGTCGTATTTGGGCTGAGAAAAATTTATTTTGATAGTTGATTTTTCTCGCTTCACGGACGTTGTAAAAAAGGGGGGGGGTCGTACTTGCTCATTGTTGGGAGGGGGTATGGCAAATCTACTTTCTGGCCTTTTAGGAAATGTGAAAGTGATGATTCTTTCTTGGTCTTCCTGTTCCACCACCTACCCCCGCCCCCCCCCCCCCCCCC